GTGTGGGGAGAGGAATCTGTCCTGCCCCGGGGAGCTGCAGCCTGAACAGGGGCGCTCGGGAACTGATCGCGCTGCCCCCCACCCCAATGCAGCCCTCGTCTAGTCCCACTCCTTAGATCCAGGGCCGTGAGCCCTCGTGGGGACAGTCTGGGACAAGCGTGTCCCTGCAGGGCGTCTCGCTGGTGCCAGCGTAACCAGGCCGGCGCGTTGCCCTGAGCCTCCTGCGAACGGTCACTCCGCAAGGAAGTGCATCCTGAGCCGGGCAGACACCTGGGCTGCCTGAGAGCCGTTGCTCGGGGTCTCCGGGCTGTTCTAGATCCAGGGCCGTGAGCCCTCGTGGGGACAGTCTGGGACAAGCGTGTCCCTGCAGGGCGTCTCGCTGGTGCCAGCGTAACCAGGCCGGCGCGTTGCCCTGAGCCTCCTGCGAACGGTCACTCCGCAAGGAAGTGCATCCTGAGCCGGGCAGACACCTGGGCTGCCTGAGAGCCGTTGCTCGGGGTCTCCGGGCTGTTCCGAGCCCTCTGGCCTCACAGCGGGGGGCAAAGAGGGCGACAGCCTCCCAGCTCGAAGCTGCTGGCAGCCCGGGGCAAACCCAGCTCCCCCTTGGCCACAAGAGACCCTCCGGGGGACTTCTCTGCTGCCGTCCCGGTGGGAGGGGCGCTGGCCCTCTGCCCCCGCCCTCGGTGGGCACCCAGCATGGAAAGTGGTGCCCTCCCGCCAGGAGGAACGTCCGTGTGCCCTGCCCCCAGGGCCGCCTGCCCAGTGAGGCCTGAGGGGCCCCGATGCGCAGACACAAAGCGACCGCGGCTGCCTGAGAGGAGGCTCAGTTACTCCGCCCCCTGCCTCGCCCGGTCACGGGTGCACGACCCGTTCAGTGTGCACACGGGGGGCCCGCTCGGCCAGGGCGTGTGAGGCATGAACCTTGCGTCAGGGCTGCGCCAGGACTCCTCGGGTCTGTGTTTAGCTGTGCCACTGACTCACCGAGCGCCCTCAGGCATGTTGCTTTGCCTCTCTGGCTCCATTTCCCCTCTGTACGTGGGTTGTAGTGCTATGAGGGGTGAATGCCAAGCACTCGGCGCTTGCTCTCCGCGCTCCTCCCCCAGGGATCCCAAAGCACGCGGCGGGTCGCCTGCCATGGCGCTCCCCACGGGGCTGAGAAGGGAAGCGAGGATGTAAAATGCCACTGACAGCCAAATGCGAGTGATTCCCTGCCCCCGCGTCAGCCTCAAGGGCGTCTCTGCTAGGGCGGGTCTGAGTCTCACTGCCCTCGGCACCTGCTCTCCAGGCCCCCAAGCTCCGGGAATGAGACGCCCCCTATGCAGGGTGCCAGAGAGGCTGAAGACACTGGAGTGGGCATCTGCACCCTCACACGGCCCCCTGGGCAGGGTGCACCTGGGAGAGAACGCGCCCTTGGCTGGGGCCCGGCCAGAGACCCCCGAGCAGGTCCCGCTACCGCCCCCAGGCTGTCTTAACCCCCTTCTCTGCCCCACTCGGGGTGTGCCAGGCAGCATCCGGGGGCCACACCCAGCCCTGGGCCTGCTGCCCCTCTGCCCCAGGGGTGGGTGTGATGGTGGCAGGGAGCGGATTGTAACAACAGGTCCTCTGTTTGCACTCTCCCCTCCCGACACCAGCTCTCCCAGCACTTCCCTGCCTCCAGCAGCGCTGCCAGGGCCACAAGCAATGGGGGCGCAGGCCTGGAGCGGGCCCCGGCCAGCCAGGAGGACCTGGGAGCAGAGCGGGGTATGACGGACGACATCTTCGACACCAGCTACCATGAGAAGGACTGGAGCGGGCCCCGGCCAGCCAGGAGGACCTGGGAGCAGAGCGGGGTATGACGGACGACATCTTCGACACCAGCTACCATGAGAAGGAGGGCCCCAAGCCCGCCCGGCGCTACGTCTGGAGGAACATCGTCCTCATGAGCCTGCTGCACGCAGGGGCCTTGTACGGCCTGTGGCTGGGGGCCGCCCCCCAAACGCCCCCCCACGCACAGGGGGAG